AGGTACTCAACGCTGCAAAAACATGACTTATGATATGACTGGTGGTGTACGCCGCAGGTTTTATTGGTGGCAGAGCAGCTAGCACGCAACTTTCTTGTTGAGTTGCACATCAGTGTACAGTATATTTTACATGTAGGTTGCTTTAACACCTGTTCTGTTCATTTAGTCCACAAGGAAGGAACAAAAATATCACTAGACCTTAATTAGTATCACTGAGAACACCTGTGTTTACCCTACTATTTCACACCAAATTGGCTGTTGTGAAAAAGTTCTATTGTTGCCAGTTGGTCCTGGTTTGTTTCTTGTTCACACTGACCTATTACAAACAAACTGCAAGCAGTAAACATGAAGTCACATGATTAGACCTTTTTCACAGCAGCCTTTTTGACATTAAAAAGTAGGGTAAACACAGGCGTTACCAATGATACTAATTAAGGTTCCATTCAGGTCAAACAGAGTCAGGGTGCTGCTTTGTGCATGTTGACTCACTGGAAAGGCTCTGCTATACTAAATGGAACAGAGCCTTAAATAGTATTATAGGTAACACCTGTGTTTACCCTACTATTTCATGTCGAAAGGGTGGTGTAAAAAAGGTCGGCTGTCAGGTAACGCAATGATGTAAGTTATTATGAGCATTATTAGTCACCTAGACTAGTCACTCTCTGATGTAACAGGAAAAAGGCTGCACCCACGTGCTGATGCGTTACCATGGTTGCCAAATGGTCTGTGCAGCAATGTGTATACAGACCGCGCTCACTCAGGACAGTGGTTGCCAACTATTTTTGTCTCCTCACAGCCCTATCAGATAGGTTCAAGTACCCATTCATAGACGTGATGGCCTTCATGGAATAGGATTTCACAGTGAGAAAACAGTGGCTGTGGTAGCTCTGTAGCTGCACATGTGAATCCATATGACAGTTACCCAATAGTTGTGGGTTTTTCTATGTTTAGCTGAGTTTGAATTTGCATTACAACCACTTGGGAATTGCAGAAGCTGGTCGTGTCAACCATTCATCTGTTACTTTTAGTTATGCATTTTGATTTTTGCTGCTAACTAATTTTCCATCACTGTCAGTTTCAGCATTGGTGTTAAAACTTGTCAGTGGGGAAACCCTGAAGCAGGAACTTTAGGGATTATGGGGGCAATAAATACTAAAGATCAGGATCACACTAATGAATAATCCTACATGTGTGCTGAAATCACAAAACGTCCTTGTCAGTTCTCACGATCAGCAGATAAATTGAATATTAGTCTAGCTTTTGAACTGATCGATCTGAGCACAAACAGCTGTGGTTGCTTTACTTTCACACCACAAACAAACTGCACCAGAGTCTGCTTGGAGACCCACCTTTTCAGGGTGGTTCAGCTCTGCGCCAGAGTTTAATTGACAGCTTTCACAGCAGCCTAAATGAACAGAACCAGCTCGTTTGGTCGGTGGTTAGGGTGTGAAAACACCCTTTGTTCAATTATGCTGATTTAAGGTTAATATAAACTCAACAGATTGATATCTAACCAAATCCCCAGTCCCATGAAACTAACAGTCACACATCTGAATAATTAACACTTTTAGTAACAAACACATGATCCTCTTCACCAAACCTAATCATTAGCTTGACAGAATGGTCATAATTGAACATAAATATGCTGCAGCAGTTTAAAAATTAGCCATCCGAGCGGTTCCACTGTGCGAATACAAAAACACTGGAAAAAAGTGGGTAAGCGCATAAAATCTCTTCCTCTCTCTCTCTCTTTCTCTCTGGATGTTGTGCTGACAAACACATGGGTCCGTATCCCTTTTTCCATAATAACTGGTCATAGGGAGCAGAGACTTCAAAAACAAACCACTCCACCCCCTCCAGTGTCTTGCTGCCAGCTGTATCTCCTCGACAAAGAGCGGCGGCGTCTACCACGAGGAAATAAGACAATCTGTCAATTCTGCATGGGTTAAGTCAAGAGAGCCCAGTCCAATCACACTACAGATGAAAACTGAGTCAATCATGGCGTGTGTTTTTCACTAGAAAGCCCAAGTCGATTTTTATGCAAATGAAGGAGTGATGCGGTACAAGAAGCTGCACTTGACCTACATAGCTCTTCCACAATTCCTTCCCCAATAGAGAGGAGGAGATCACAGGAAGCTGGGAGCTAGAGGACAGGCCTTATTAACTACCACCGCACAGGAATAAAGCAGTGCACTGTGGGTAGAGGGGGGAGAAGCTTGTGGAGCGATAAAGACGAGAGCATAGGAGAGATTGTGCTGGATGTGGTCCAACATTCAGCACTCGTGCAAGTCTTGAGAGAGTTCAAAAATCAGACCATGCAGCAAGAGAGTGCGGATACAGTGATATATTTTTGGAAAATCTAGAGGAAGAGTTGAGGATCTGCTTTGGTCAAGTTCTCAAGTCCTGACGTGCATTTGGAACAATCTTTTTCAGCCAAGTTCCTCGTAAAAAAAAACAAAAAAAGACGCTTAGGGTTTGTTGGAAAAAAAGAAACCCCATCCAAGACTAGAACGCTGAGGCCATTCTCAGAGGCTGCTCTCACACAGAAGCGGCACTGAACAAAAATTCCACACAAATTATACAGGCCAGGCCGAGCCTCGATGCTTTTGTAATTGCTTGCGCAGCCCTGCCCAGAAAAGAAAAGAAAAAGAAAAAAGAAAAATCTGGGCCTTGATGATGACGAAGAAGAGCAGACAGACAACAAAAGGAGAAAGTGTTTGGTTTGTGAGCGACAAGGACAAAAGGACAGGATGTGTTCATGTCTCATGGTCACGGTCACTGATAGTCCACATGCATATGTGCACGCAATAAAAACACATTTACCACAACCAGGCTGCATGGGTTACACATACGCACAAGAGAGCAGCCTAAATATCCGTCATTATAAAGTCATGATCTGAAAGCTAGCATCACTCAAAACCACAGAACTTTATTTTAAATTCTAAAGTCAAGATCCCAGAGTTACCGTCGATACCAAAAATACGACTCTGAATTACAAGGAAATGTGGAGAAACCGCTGCACAACAAATCTAGAAATCCCCATTTAAAGTAATAGTGCAGCAATAAAATGACATCTGATTTGTTGGACATGTTTTGATACTACTGCCAGTATGATTCATTCGTTTTACAAGAGAAGCCAAAGTCAAATGTAGTCTGAATACAAGACTTTTGCCTAAACAAAGCAGTCTAAAACTGGCTGATCAATCCACTGACAAATACTACATTGACTACCCAGCCCTGCACGCTACAGATGTGATATAGTTCCAATAAAGTGACTGCAGAGTCTGTGCGTTCGCTGCTCACTGTTTCCACTTGAAATCATGAAAAGCCTGAGCTTCTTGCCCTGATTGTAGGAGGTAGTTGGATTTACTTAGGGAGCAGAGGATTACAGCAGACCAGGTCAAGGAAACAGGACTGCAGGCCAGCGTCTGAGAGGCTGAGACACCGGCCTAGATTGAAAAGCTGCCAAAAGGCTCAAAATATTCGGCATTAGGGGCGATGTGTGGCTTTGTAGATCACAAAGGGTAGCGCTGTGATGCAACTGAATGAATCCTGAAACTGTGTGCAAAAGCTTTTTTCTGCTTTGGCAGACAGAGTACAGCAGACTGAGAGGAAGGGTGAGGGGTGGCAAACCCAGGGTGCTGTGCTCACACACCCTGAGCATCTGAACCACCGCCACGCTCCTAATAATGTGTTGTGTTAGGTAAGGATTCAAGCCACAGGAAGAGATCTTTAGCTGCTGAGAGCAACATACTGGTAAACATGCTGAACATTATGCTCGGCGCTTGGGCTGATCCAGAGCAGAATCTGAAAGCAGCCTGCAGCAACTCGTAGAATTAATTAGAGGCATTGTCTGATATTTAATTAATCCCTAATACAGATGAAACAGGAGCAATTTGCAGCAAGACCTTGGCCAATCATGCACCAGATATCTGATTAAGATTGGAAGATAACTGTGATGCCCAAAACACAAACTTTGCTATCATTTAATTAGGATTCAGGACCAGGCCTGGGGATATGCAGACTGTAACTGCAAAACTGTAAAATAACCAATACGTTTGTGACAGGACAGAGCTGGCCCAAATCCCTGAGCCCAATCCTGAAAACTGAATACAGCCTTGATGAGATTGCTCAGTCAATAGGCTTGGAGGGCCACCTAACCCAATAATGCGCTCTGCGACAAATAACATGCCTTTGTGGGACGGCAATCCACAGGAAAAAGCCCTGCGTGTTGTTCCAAGTGGCTGTGTGAACACTTTTAATCCATCAGGCCTGAGAGCGGGTCAAGTGATGGGATGTGGAGATTTATTGGAGCTCCCTCGCACCACAACACATAAGAATAACTGTGAGGATTAACCAGGAGATGGAAAAATGCTGCGCGGATCCGTGTAAAGCACAGGTGACCAGAGTGCGGTGGCTCAGTCAAAGAAGTGACAGATGCACAGAGATGAAAAGAAAACAAAAACAGAGCCTTTCCTGTGTGACGCGTGACTACTAAAATTAGATCAGAGGAAACTTTAATGATCCCTCTGGGAAGATTTGGCACATTATGCATACGATTGGAAGCACACAGTAATATTCCTATTTACTGTGTGCTGCAGCGTTTATTTTGCATTTAACAACTAGAATCCAGCAATTATGCCTACAAATAATTATTCTTTTCATTTTAAATCTGTCTTGTGTGTGTTGGATTTATTGGTCAGCCTTTCAAATGTCCCCAACACCCATCACAACATAACTGAGGTGGTGTCTTCACATGGCTTGTTTTGTGTCTAAAACCTAAAGATATTCAGTTAAAAGTGATAGAAAAGCAGCAATCGTCACCCTTTACGGACATTTTTACTTGTTAAATGACTAATTATTAGCTTAACATTGTTTGACTAATCAATTGATCAACTAATCTTTCAGCACTGCTCTGTGTGTCTCCCCTACCTGCTCAGAGTACAAATGTAAAACCTGTCAACAAAGCCACAAAAGTTCATTTCAGGCTGTGCTCTCACCTTCTTGCCCGCGGAGCCCGTCTTGGAGAGGCAGGACTTGGCGAGGGAAAGGTACCCACCGATGACCTCGATCTCCTCCACAGCGGGGTAGCGTTTCTTCAGCAGGGAGCCCAGCTGAGCGTACGGGGCCTGTGGGGGAGTGGACCCCGGTGGGGCCTCACTTGAGGCTTCCTGCTGGGGCTCAGGTGAGCTCGGCTGGGCCTCGGGCTTACGCTTAGGCACCACAGTGAAGGTGTTCCCCTTTCTCCTCTGCACCATGGGGCTGGGAGCAGGGACACGCTGCGGGGGCTCCACTTCAATGTCGTCTATGTTTGTTACTGGGAGGTGATCCACGGGAGGTCGTTGAGGAGCCGGGGAAGGCGTGGAAGGGACAGGAGAGTCTGAGGGAACCGGAGAGAAGGAAGGTGAAGATGGGACAGCCGGAGAAGACGGGGGTGAAGACAGGGCAGGTGGAGAGGAGGGAGCTGGGGATGGAGAAGGAGGTTCTGAGAGCGGAGGAGGTGTTGGACTTGTGGCAACAGGAGAAGATGGTTCAGGCATGGATGGCCTCGCCTGCCTCTCGACTTCCTTCTCCTCCTGCACTTTCTCCTTACTCCTCTTTGAGGGTGTCAAAGTGGGCACCGGGGTGTGGGAGGTTGGCACTCCTTGCGTGGGCACCTCTGCCGCTCTGTGGGAGGGGGAAGACCGGACGGGGCTGGACGGTGTCGGGCTGCCTGTCGCAGATGAGGCAGGAGGACGGCGCTTGGGGATCACTGTGAAGGAGTTTCGGGACTGCAGGCGCAGGTTTGCGAGGGCCCGTGCCTGGGTGTCCTCATCTGGAATTCGGGCGAGGTCTGGCTTTGGGGAGGGACGGATCTCGAAGTCAGGCGAGGAGCGTGACACCTTGGATGAGATGGGGCTTGAGGGGGACTCGGCACGGGCACGAAGGGTCTCCGGAGAGCATGGCACCTTGGATTTGGGTGGCACCTCTGCGCCCTCCCAGTCTCTCTCTCTGGTGGGCTTGGTTTGCCCCTTGTCGGGCTCATCTCTGGGGGAGCCACGGCCTCCGCTGTCCTCAAACCGCTGACGGAAGGAAGACACAGACTGAGGGGGCTCGGCGGAGCGTTGGGGGCTGCCCAGCTCAGAGACAGCGGGCTGTGGCTTTGGTTTGGAAGACCAGGGGCCCTGGAAGACAGGCGAGGACGGCTGGCTGCTGCCTGGGCTGCTGACCGACAGGCCTGGCCTGGGCTTTGGCACCAGATCTGGCTGTGGCTTGGGCCAGAGTCTTGGCCTGCTGCTGGCACTACAGTCCAGGTCCAGCAGGTTCTCTGTGCTGTGGGACTTCTTCTGCAGCTTCCCGTAATTGCTGTCAAACTTCTGCAGCATCCGGCTCACCCTGCCCTGACCCTCACCTGTCTCATATGAGACCTCATGATCAGGGCGGCCCAGGGTGCTCAAGTTCTCCTCACTCTTGCTTAACGTTGTGTCATAAATCACCACTTCCTTGGCTCTTATCTCGGTAACAGCACTCCCTCTCCGGTCCAGGAGGTCGTTCAGAGAGCTGTAACTATTGACACCGTTTTGCTGCCATTTGGACCCGGGTTTCAGCCCTCCAGCTTCCGGAAAGTAATCCGGGTCGGACTCAATGATGATAATGTTCTCTGCGCGGATAGTCCGTATACCGGGTACGCTGCCGTACAGCTCCAGGATGTGCTGCACCGGACGAGCGGCGTTTTCTCGGTCCTGTCGCCTCCTCCGCTCCTTCTCCAGCTTGATGAATGGGTTCTCCTCCAGCGGGCCCAGGCTTTCCTGCAGCACCAGGCTCTCCTGTCTGCCGTCCTCCCTCGACACCGTCCTCTCCGCGGCCGTCGGCCGTGGCTCTTTGTTGTTCCCGAAGTGTTGGCTGGCTGGGGTGATGGTGTAGTTCCGCCCGGACCCGCCGCTCGGTCCGCTGTCAGTCTTGGGTCCGCTGCTGCTGCCGTTCACATTTCCCGGCAGCTCGCCGTTAACCCGCTGCGGGCCCGCACCACCGGGGCTCGTGTCCGCGGCACCGGCTCCTCCGGACCCGCCGCCCTTCGCTTTCCTCCTCTCCAGTATCTCTCGCTTCCAGGCCGGCATCCTCGGGCTCTCTTGTCCGGCCTCTTGGCGGAGGACGTGCACCTCTCCTCCGCCAGACATCAGGGACGGTTGTTCGGAGGGGATGAAGAGGGGAGAGAGGCAGGCTCCGAGGCGGTTCGGCCGCGGTCCGGTGCGGCTCTAAATCCTGTATCCGGCTCCGACTGTACCTGCAGCACCGATCACCGCACACTCACACACATCCCTCCCGTCTCTTTTTTCTCTCTCCTCTCCCTCTGCTTTCTCTCTCTGTCTCTCCTCACAGCCCCTGAACGCGACCCCGCCCCTCCGCAGCACCACGAGCGGCTTCGGCAGTCCCATCCGCCTCCTGATTGGTTGTTGAGGCGTTCGGACACGCCCCCAGCCCTTCTGTAGAACGCCGCACGTTGACGCAAACCACTCCCGTTTCTATTGTTGACTGGGCAACGAAGGCCTGTCAGTCAAAGGTGTTGCGTTCAGGTTCCACCCGCCCCTCCCTCTTTTGTATTTACTATATTTAACGCTATCAGTGAATGATCTATAAATATAGAATGGTACTCATAATGCTTCATCTAATGTTTATAAGAGGTATTAATGTATTTAACTACAACCATAAACATACCGTGAGACAAACACATCTACCACATTATAGATATTAAATATTATCGCTAAAACCCAGTAAATTTATCTCTGTTGAATCCATGTAACCTACTGAATAATGACTCCTTTGTATTATTTCTTTACTTTACGACCTATGGATTCCCAACAATGTCCCAGATTCATTGCTTTTGTGGCATCTCAGTAGGCTATAGTTTCCCTTTCCAAAGCTGTATCCCTGTAAATGTAACCAGTGTTACAGTGCAGGGACCCTGAAGCTTGAGGTGTTGTTGTTCGGGTGTGATAAGTAGGTAACATCCAGGGGCGGGCGGAGGCTGACGGCTGTTCATTCAGCATTTGTCGGCGATGCCACCTGTCGATAATCCGGCTGCAGTAAACACATGGGCTGAGAAGTAGCCCGCTGCACATGAATCAGCACTAAGAGAGCTATTCTTGGGTACTACAACAGATTACTGTAGCTCATTAAACATTTATCACCGAACCACAAGAACAGCGAGGCTAAAGAGCAGAGAGGAGGAAAATAATCAAATGCATAAAAGAAATGGGTGAGAAATGTACCTGGTTGGCCTGAGAGAAATGAAACTGGTGTAGCTGCTATTCCTGGCAATTTGAGCGGTGACATGATGAGAATTAGGTTTTATTCATCACTCAGATGCGCTAGTTTTTATTTGGCATATTCAGATTTTTCTTTGGGGCTAATACGTTAAATATGACTGATTTAATTTATAATTGTGCATGGACAAAACATTAAAAACACTGACTTCATCCTGTCTACATGCTGGCTGTCTTTGACAGAAGCCAAACAAAAGTACAGGATATTCAGTGCTGCATTCACTGTAGAGCAGCAGCAGCAGGAAATACAATTATTATTTAAAAAAAAAAGAAGTATTATTTGGAAATGATGTAGGGGATTGTATATGGGCTAAAACGTCAACATAAATAAAGGCATGATCCTTTATGTTGTGCTATACCACGCCCATATGAGAGGCCAGTAGTGCCTCCTTGTGGCGAGAGACAGCAACAGACAGTAACAGTAGATATCTACTTAAACCCACTACCACACTCAAATTTTCATTCCACGCCTTTGGTTAAATGTTGATGGTTTATTTACATGTATATACACGACAATAAGGGTGCCATAACAAAAACATAAGAACATAAATAAAATGTGGTGAATTTCTTTCCAAAAATCAACATATACATAATACACGGAATTTCACATCGGGAATTACCTTAAAATGAGGCCTTAAATACATGCAGTACATACACAAGGTAGGATCGAACACATACCAAATACATTACATATTGTACAAGTAAACAGCAATATTCAGGGAAGACGTGTGCACACAGCTGACTGCTTGTACAGATCACATTCAGTTCCTCTGCATTATGGTGAGACTGTGAGCTGACAGCAAGTTTCAGAACCAGCTTCTTGCTGCTCAGATCGTTCTCTCACTGATGGAATTGACAAGCCAGGCAGCTTGTGGGGGAGGGGGAACTGTGTGAGCAACACTCCCAGCAACAGGCAACAAAGTGAGACAGAAGATAATAAACCTAATCAAATTGTGCTGGCAAGCAATGTCTTCCTCTGGGGGGAAAAGCAACAAAGCCGCAGTAGCAACTCCCTAAGCCCCGTTACCCATGACAGTTGCACAAAAAAGGTGCTTAGGGCATTACAGCCTCTTAGTTTCACCCGTTTATTAAATCTACACGTGTTGTGTGTGCACATGTGCATTAAAACATAACTCTGGTATAAATTTTCCTCGTGGCTCATTGTCTACCACTGATTGCACAATGTAAAAAGGCACACCATGTCCAAAGCACACACTTACTGCTCTGACTCTTTGTATTCCTAAAAGTATCAAAAATGTACAACCATAATCCATCCTGATGAAAAGGGGGCTCAGAATAATGAGGACTTCAGTGGTATTTATTATCTAGTTACAATCTACTTCCATTCAGTCCTCAGCTCTAACTAAAGGATCACTGTAGCAACAGGTGCCATTAAGTATGTAGTCTACCTATTATTCTCTTGTATGATTGTTCCCAAACCATGCTGCTATAACAGCGCCCACTCTTTAGAACCTGACTGCAGGGATTTGTTCCCATTCAGCCACAAGAGCATTGGTGAGGTCAAACACTTGTGTTGATCAGACCTGGCTCACAGTCGGTGTTTCAGTTCATCCCAAGGTGTTGCATGGGGCTGAGCGAGGTGAAGGCTCTGTGCAGGTCTTGTTCTTCCACGCCAGCGGACCTGGCTTTGTTCAGGAAGGCCCTGTCATGTCGAAACAAGAGCTTCCCCAAACGGTTTTCTAATATATCACTAAGATTTACCTCCATTGTAACCAAAGGGTCGAATAGACAGAGGTCTCCACATACTTTTGGCTATCCAGTGTATTTTATAATTTAGCAACACACAGAATAGATTGTCTGCTTCAGTTTCGTGAAATACTGCATTACAACGCAAGCAAGCAGTGCTTATTTTGAGGCTATTAGGAACACAAATGATAGAAAACTGGATTCTGGTGAGACCTGGAACATGTGCATGAAAATCTCTCAATTGCTTTTTTGATTTTGTACAAAAAAAAGGTGGCAACGAGCCAAAAGAAAAGTGATACCACCGTTATGCTTTAAATCTCTAATGGCAGATGAAGATTGCTCTCTGTTCCCGCGTCGTCGGCAACGTGGTAGCACAACCACTGGCTGCCTCTCCTCAGTTGACGCGGCATGCTCGTATCATCAGCAGCTGCAGCAGGATGAACAGCGGCGAGACGATGAGGCCGAACCACAGGTCTCTGGCTTGCTCCTGCTCCGCCAGCTTCTGGCACAGCAGCACCTCGCACACCAGCTTCAGGCTGAGCACCGTCAGCACCCAGAGGAGCCGCAGCACCGCGAGACGCTTCTCGTTCTCTTGGTAAAGACGGATGGACACGATGGCAGTGAAGTAGGTGCTGAGGCCGTCGGCAGCAAACAGTGGGACGAACACTAGCCACCAGCTCAGGGTGGGGGTGAACATGTCGGCTCGCAGAGCAACCAGCATGCTGAAGACCAGCAAAGCTAGCAGGTGGAGGAAGAGTTCGAAGGTGGCAAAGCCCAGCCACTGGACCAGTTCCCTCAGGGAGAACAGCATGGCTGAGGACAGCAGGGTCTTCAACCAGGGACGGACTGACAGAGGACGGCCGAGTCACGCACTGGGCAGCCCTGGTTAGGGGGCAGAGTGCTCCAGAGTGAGGGTGGCAGTGAGGAGTCACTGATACTGGCTGAACAGATGATCCACTTCACTCTTGGCTACATCTTCAACTCCACCCTGAGGAGGAGGATGGGGGGGGGGGTGACTGCAGGAAGTGTCTGAAGGAAACATAACATTACAAGAGTTAATATAAAGTGCTGCACCTGGAAGAACCAAAGAAGAAAACAACCAGGCATACACCCACACCCTACATGTCACTGAGAGTAGACGGGGCCCAAATTATACCTGACTAGATTAGGAAACAGCCAGTGAAGATAGGCAGTGATTGCACCTATCTGTCTCCATCACTTCATCACGGTCAGTCTAATACTCAGCCCGATCAGCCTCACTCAGATATGGCTGATGGCGGTACACTGACACACAGTTACATGAACGTTACATTTACAACGATGATACAGACTGTAGCCGAGATGCTTGTATTACAATGCAAGCTAACCACAGGCAGCCAGAGAGGAGACAATCTATTTAATAAACACAGCCAGCGTATAGGCACACACTAAATGTATTTTATATTTTACTTTACCTTAATAACAGCCTGCCGTTTTCTCCTCCATCTAGCTGCACGCCAATCTGTCAGTACACAAGGCTAACAAGCGGTTAGCATCGTAGCTTCGGATATTTCTTTTTTTTTTCTCGCTTTCTGGGAAGTATCGCGAGAAGGGCGAACCAGACTTGTATGGTGGCCGAAAAGATGCAAATTGTAAATCTTTTCCGGTGTTGTTGTCCGCGTGTTTTCCAACAGTCCTACCTCAAATAATAATAATACGGTGTGTTTTCTGTAAAACCTAAAAGCAATATAATAAAATACTTTAATTTAGGCTGTGTCCGTATATAGTTATGACTTAATGTAACCATGACTCCAGTCAGTAGGTGGCGGTAGTGCACCGTCACTTCGCCCGCGAAACGTCGGTTACAATCAAAGAAAAAAGTGTCCTGAGTGAGAAGACTGTGCCCATCGACTGAGCGTGAGTGGAGAGTCCGAAAGTCTCATCGGTACAGGTAATACACTGGCTTTATTTAATGTGTGTGCACTTTTTATTCATGTTTTTGGATTAGAGTCTCTCAGTTTTATGACATTAGTTGCTGCGGGTTGTGTTTATAGCTGTCCACATTCATTAAAGAGTTAATACGAAGGTGTTTTAGCAGCCAAGGTGACAAAACCACATCTCGTAACTCAGCCTGCTCTGGTTAATAGCTGGCGGCGAAAATGCGAAAGAAAAACACTCCTATGTCTGGTAAAAGACAGTTAGAGCGGTTATTACTAATGTGTTTAAAGGTATGTCCAATTAAATCTCTATGTAACAGAAATCGGTTGTTATCTTAAAGTTACAGTTTGACTTTTACTGCTGTTTCTTTTCTTCACATCTGAGGTCGTAAATGTATAGAGAGTATATGAATGCAGCGAAGATCAGATCATGTTAGCATGGCAGATAATAAGTGAGTCTGTTTATCACTTACTGTTATGTGTCCTGTATTTTCTTTCACTGTTAATGGAATCGGTGGCTGTATGTTGTAATTGTGACCTGCCAAATGACTGCCCGTGCAGATTACTACTACTACTACTCTCAACTGGTTCATCACACTTAAAGACAACATTTCTGTTGGATATTGTTGATGATTATATGACAAATGTATTAATAATAATAATAAAAATAATCAAATTTCATTTGATTTTGATGTTCAGAACAAAGTGTTCCAAAATGCAATCATTAGTTTGGGCAACAGAAATGTGGAAAATCCTAAAATGCCATCACAGTCTGATTTACTGAGTAAACAAAGTCAGTTAATGACTGATCGCACAGCATTGTATTTATAATTCAAGAAATGATCTTTGTCCAGCTGTGAGAAAATGTCATGGGTGCTCATGTGCATGTTGAGACAATGCTGAAGCATTACCCATTAACATAAAAGCTTTTTATTGAATGGAGTTTTACAACCTGCAGCCTGCTCACGCTGCAGTGAGGCCGAGCCAAGCTGCTGTTTGTAGGAGCAGCCTCACGCATGCCTGGTCAGTTTTAACGGTGACTGAGCTGATATGAGACACAAGAGTGTGAGAACGGCATTTTGGCTCTGACAGAAGAGAACCTGAGCTGTTCCCTGTGTTGCTCTCTGTGTTTTGTCACTAATGTACTGCCACATACTCTGTCTCAGGGTAAAGATGCAGACGCCAGCGGAATCCATCCTCCACAGCGGCTATTTCCACCCAACACTGCGATACTGGCAGACCTGTGTCACAGATTTAAGACCTGACAATCTCATCTACCCCATCTTCATCACGTAAATGAAACTTCTCTTTGTACCACAAAATTACACAAAAGGGCAAATAAATGATGTGTGCAGGAGGGGCTTGACTGATGTTACAGAGATCAGGGCTCAACAACTGTCAAATGACATTTGAATGTGTTCGCACCAAGAGAAGTGGAGAATAGTGTGATATTTTTGAAGTTACGCTTCAGTGGACTCTTCGTCACTCTCTCCTACAGCGACAGTGCAGATGCAGTGGAGCCCATCGGCAGCCTGCCAGGACAGGCCAGGTAAGACTAATTCATTCTATCATCCTCGTCCCATAACTGTGGTGTAAAGCACCTGCTTTTCTGAGCAAATTACAAAACGTATGTTGACTGAGGGGGATTAAAGTGTGCATTTAAACAAGGAATCTCATGACGCACACACAGTGTCACCCTGCAGCTGTGAGTTCACTGAGGGTGTTGTCTTTAGATAAAAACAGTCAGGCAGGGTGGACCCAAAGCCAAACACTGGACCTGGACCAAGATAAGAAGAGAATCCGTTAGATCTTTGTTGGTCACACAACAAAACCAAATGCAAACCCATTTTGTGTCTAAATTGCACACTTCCCTGTTGAAATTGAAACTGAAATGTGACATTTTGTGTCAGTATGTGTTAATATATAATTTTAGAGTTTTTAGTTTTTTTTCCCCTTGATTAAAACTTGATGAGAGGATCATTTTCATCGCGATTTTGAGTCTTCCCTGAAAGACCCTTTGGTGTTCTCATGTTTCATTCATGTTGTTTGTATTCCCAATCCACAGATACGGAGTGAACAAGCTGGAGAGCATGTTGCGGCCGCTTGTGGAGAACGGCTTGAAGTGTGTGCTGATTTTTGGTGTCCCTGCAAAAATAGAAAAGGTATATTAAACTAAAAGAAGGCGTTGCTTGCTTTCTCTTATCATTCATTTATGTAGCAGCAGTTAGGTCTTTCCATGTGTCCTTTTTTTCTGGTAAATGAGCAAATGTGCAGCTTTCTCATTTACCAAACGTATGTGGACTTGTGGTCATAAAGAAGCGTGTGAAGAAGGTTGTTATAGCAGCAGGTAGAATCCTGGCAGCAAACCTGTTTCTGTGCACTGAACACACTGTGATCTTCGTCTTTTCCCGTCAGGATGACAGAGGCTCAGGTGCCGACACAGACGACACGCCGGCTGTACTGGCAGTGAAGAAGATCAGGTATTTGTTCCCGGAGCTGCTGGTGGCATGTGACGTCTGCCTGTGTCCCTACACATCGCACGGACACTGCGGTCAGTGTCTCCTCTGATGATTTACCTTCTGTACAGAGCAGTGCTAAAAGGACAGAGTTATTGTGCAGCACATAATAAGATTTTGGATGTTTCTTTCTGTTGTTTTTCCTGCAGGTATCCTGAACGATGACGGTACTCTGAACAATGACGCCAGCTGCCTGCGCTTGGCAGAAGTGGCGCTGGCCTACGCTCGAGCTGGTAAATCTTGTTTCGTGTTTGTAAAGGTTGTTCCTCTTTGTGGAAAACAATAAGCACCACACTTCCTTCTCCTCAGCGAGCCTCTCTTTTTGATTTGAATTATCTATTAAAGTTGGGGTTTCCCCAATTGTGTTTATTTATTTACTTTTTTATTTATTGAGCCTTTATTATCACTTATTTTCAGTTGGTTCCTAGAGAGGCTGATATGTCTACATCTATGTCATTTTGGCTAAGAAACTGGAAAAACAAGCTTTTCAGTGCAAGCTTTGTGTGTAAATAAGTAGATTAGAGTATAGAATGTATTATTAGTTTATTTGTGTTCACATTTGAAAGTAGTTTTAAAGGTGCAGTGTGTTTAGGAGGATGGATTGGCAGAAATGGAATATAATATTCTTAGGTATGTTTTTATTACTGTGTTTTTGTTACCTTTTTTTGTGGCCACCATAGTTATGTTATCTCCTACATGCTTGGAATAGGAGTGTGAGGCGAGGGATTTGCAATCAGCAAATACACCATTAAATGCCACTGAATCCTGTTCCCTTAACCGACAACATCACAGAACCAGAGCTGTAATTTATTAGCAAAAATAAAACTGTTGAGCAATAAGGAAGGTTACTTTCTACAACTGTATAATTTTGCTGTCTTATAGATTGATTTCTTGTATTTCTAGACCACATATTTTAAATCTGACTAATTTAAGACCAATCAAACTAATAGTTTTTTAAAGAGGTCATCCAATAATGACTCACACGGGCGTGTGTTCTGCAGGTTGTCACATCATCGCTCCGTCAGACATGATGGATGGAAGAGTCAGAGCCATAAAACAAGCCCTGATATCCAATGGTTTGGGAAACAAGGTAAAGGACTGTGCAGACATCTGCAAACTAACTGAAGCATACTTTAAAGGAAGTGATCACGGTCTTACAAAAGAATGCAATGTGTCAGTCCATTTCTCAATACTTTCTCAGTAATGACTCCCTTAAAACCAGCTAGTAATATGCAGTTTCATTTTCATTTTAATCATTACATCATTTCCTAAAACAAAATGTAAATGTAAGATGTTTTTAAAAGTCGTTTTATAGCATTTTGTCTTTACATTCTTTCTCCAGGCTTCAGTGCTGAGCTACAGTGCAAAGTTTGCCTCATGTTATTACGGTCCTTTCAGGTGAGTAAATCACACTACAGCCGTCAACGTAAGACAACCCGACATACTGTAGCAGTTAGCAACCGTTTCTGTAGTGGTGAAAAAACATTTAAAAAAATGATTAATATTAACAGTTTGACACATGAGCACATAAGCACATAAGCTCCCTGTGCCAAACTCCCTTTAAGAAATATTACATATTAACAATTCCTAACGTGTCTGTAACAACATGTAACTCTAGAAACACAAGCTAAAGTGTCTCATATGTCCACAGTCTTCTTGTCAATTCGGCATAAATACAACCAGATGTTTAGTCTCCAAGATAATTTTCTGCCGTCAGTGCGACGGTGCTGTTGATGAGCCTGCAGGTTGCGTCACTGAACAGTTCACACAACGTGCTCCTCCTCATGGGAGCGAGCACCAATCTGCCTCTGATCTGGGGGCATTTGACGGCCATCTCGCAAAACAGTTGGCAAGTGGAAAATTAAATCGCGTAGTGTGAACTCGGCTTGAGCTCTGCAGGTTCAGGTGTTAACAGATCAGTGAAACAGCACTTTGAAGTGCGAATAGACTAAAGCTCCCTGCTGTGTTTGTATACAGAGATGCTGCACAGTCCAAACCTGCGTTTGGTGACAGACGCTGCTATCAGCTGCCTCCTGGAGCGAGAGGACTCGCCCTTCGAGCTGTGGTAAGTTGATGTGTGACGTTTGGGCTACAGGTGTTAGGTTGAAGCAGCTGTGGGAGATCTTACTCCTGTTCTGTGCTGCAGGAGCGAGACGTGAGAGAAGGAGCTGACATGCTGATGGTGAAACCAGGTCTGCCGTATCTGGACATCGTGAGAGAGGTCAAGGACAAGGTCTGTAACGCAATCAGTTAAGCGTATTTCACAAAATGTCATTTTTAAATATCATGGTGCCTTTTGGAGGAAGTGTCCACATTGTGAGGGTTATTTCTAACGTGTCTCTCTTCAGTTCCCCACTCACCCCCTGGCAGTGTACAACGTGTCAGGGGAGTTTGCCATGATGTGGCACGGAGCGCAGGCCGGAGCGTTCGACCTGCGGGCCGCTGTGATGGAGGCCATGACCGCCTTCCGCAGGGCAGGTGAGAGGGGAGAGGACAGGGGATTTAACGCTCAGATCACCTGAATAAAGACCGTCCACACTAAGTTGGCTGAATTTGAAGTTATCTTAGTCTCTCTGGTTTAGCCTTCCTAAGTCAGCGAGTGGTTTTTGCACTTTAGACAACGGGGAAATAGTTTTAATTTTCTAAGACCACTGACATTAAATAAATCTTTCAATTAAGTGCTTATATGTGATTCCGAATAAATAAATTTTTCAATTGTCTGACAACAGAAACATGTAAATAAGAACAAATAGATAAAAAGACATGTAGTATCTCACTTTTAGGCTGCGCTCACGCTGCCAGCCTTGGCGCTCAATTCGGATTTCTTGTGGCCAATATGAGAATATGCCATGCTCCTAAACTGACCCTCATGGACAAAAGATCAATAACATGTCACACAATGTCACATGCTGCACATACTGCGGGCCAGTGAAGTCAGTGTTAACGGTTTCATTTAGAAGTTGATGTGCAGTGGAACCTGTGAATTTGTGAGCAGATAACGAGGACCAGGAGAAAGTGTGCCAAATTTTAAATATGGCTTTTTGTGGAGCAATGGCTGCTACTTCTGCATGAAAGTGCATGTGGAGTTGAAGCAAACACAGACCGGTTACAATTCAACCCCTAAAATTTAGCTTGTCCTTGTCACCCCTCCACTGACTACCTCCAACGCAGCTGAGTGACTCACGCCAGCACAGAATTGTGACGAATGGTGATCTAGAGTGATGCAGAATTCTGATATGACTGTGAACTATGTTCACACTGAAAACACAAGAAAACACACATGTTAGTGGTAAAATTAGAATTGACAAGATCAGATTCCATGTCATTTGTGCGGTTGACAGTCAGGAAAGAAAGCTGTGACTCATATAAGTCACAGGCCATTTTTGTCTGCAGTGTTAACATAGCCTGAGTCAGCTTAAGGTCTGGGTATGTTGAAATAAACTAAATTATACAACTTGCATACAACTTGAGCTTAAGAAAAAAGAATGAATAGTTGTTCTGTATGGTCACACTTGAAGGTGGTGAGAAAAGCCTGCTGTCTCTGACACAACGATGGACAGACTGTGTTCTTGATTCATGATTTTGCACAGCGTTTTACACACAAAGAGTCAAAGAAGTAGTTAGGGTATGTGCAGAACAAAAAAAGCAAGGTTAGAACCTGCCTGCTATCATACCTCCATACACCTGGCCAATGCCTGATTGAACTGGGTGTGACTGTCAGATTCAGAAACGTACAAAAATGGTCGTACGCATCCCCCCCTGATTCCACTGTGGGAAACTGGGTTTCAGATGGTGTTAGACGATTCAAGAAGCGCTGCCTTTAAAGCATACTGGGGCCTTTAGGTGTACACGTACTGTCGTTCTTGCACTTTGTTCCAGTCAGAACTAGACAGATGGATGGATCATAGTGTGACCTGGTGTATCCCTGCAATTAAACACTCATTCGTGCCACTATAAATCAGTATCAGTTCAGCAATAGATGTAATCTGACTTTATGCTCATAGTTTTCCCTCGCTCTGTGATGCAGGTGCTGACATCATCATCACCTATTACACACCACAGCTGCTCAGCTGGCTGAAGGAGTAAAGAACCGAGATCTGAGGCCAAAGGACGGGTGGACATAGCGACGGGCCTAGAGACAGATCAACAGGCAGACTCCTTTTTAAAAGTATAAAGCTGCTGTTGACTCAGTCACACTAACAAAGAGCACTAAGAAATAAAATGTATGAAAGCAAGCAACCTGTTTACTTTTAGGCCTTCATTTAGCTTTTTCTGTTCAGTTTTGAGATAATAATTCAAATAGTATGACACGTGTTTATCTCGTGATCAGTTTTAAAGAGTTTTGAAGGGCTAATATGGAGCTAAACACTGAGAATGTAAACGTTGACAGTCTTGTTGGTGTTTTTCTAGCGGGAAATGTCTCCTGTGTGTCGTCGGGATCAGTGTGAAATGATCATCTCTCTTAACTTATGTGATTATGTAATGTATATTTGTAGGAGTCGCTGCCATACAAATGTCTGATATATATACGACTGCTGTCTCAGATTAACTACTATCAACCCCCAACATGCTCTTACTGAGAGGAAATAAAATATTTCATCCATAGCTACAAGAGTGTGTGTGTGTTTATTTACAGGTGATGCATGTTGAGTGATGAGCCTCCACGGTCTTCTTTACCTGTGCGTAGAAATCACAGTGCTGTATTAAAAACCTTTTTAGCACCACCTGTCTGTTATGCAACATCACAGAACAGCAGTTTAAACAACCTGAATCTCATTTTGTGGGAGTTCAGTGGATCTTGATACCCCTCTTGTTCATAAAGTACGTAAGTAAATCTTAAAATCTTTGCTGATCTGCACGTCTACAGCTGATTATATTAAACTGAAACCATAAAGTGGAATGGAAATGGAATCTCCCATTAGATTCTGCTCTTGTGTTCTTTACCTCGGTGTGCAGCTTGGGTGATGCTCTCTCTTTGCACACTCTGCACCTTCAGCAACAAGTCTTCTTCAGGGAGTTAAACAGAGATCAAACAGCTCTTTGTTACAGCAGTAATACAACAATATCTTCCAGTTGGGCCAGGATTTGTTTTCCTAGAGAGGGTCATCAGACATATAAAGACTCCAGCAGGTGGCGTAGTTTGGCCCTCAAAACTCATCAAAGCTGAATTAATGCGCAGCAGAGTGAACTGTTGATCTTTAATTAAATGGAATTTCGGTCATGTGCGCGCTACCAATGTAATTTGTCTGATCATAACTAAAAGTGATACTCCCTCTGCTATTCTTCTGGCAAGAGGATATAAAAATGTATTTATTTTGGACACATGGTTATAATGCCTTGATTAATAATTGATAAAATCGGTGAAATTGTGCGCCTGACTTTGCAATGTCAACTTTGCTGCGACATTGTACATCATCGATCAATTATTGTGCATTTGGGATATTTAGCTTACTGTGGTCATTATAACATGGGTTACCTCATTCTGAGATGGATGTCGTTTCATAACGTTACCACAACACCCGATGTGCAAACATTTTCTTCTTATACCCAATTTCAGTGTTATTCAGCGACGGCCATGAAAGCGATTAGTGTTCTTAAAAATACTTTCCAACAACAACAACAACAACAAGAGCAGAGAAACACAGGTGATTTAACAGCCCTATTTATGACTTTAGACATTGCTTTGTACAATGACAGAGTACATGTTTTGTATTAGAAATGCGGTAGACACCGTGGCGGTTCCAGTGTGCGTATTTACGCACGGACTTGATACACCTGTCCGACACTGCAAAGGAAGCGCAAGTATCCTTCATCATCCGTCTATCATAGACCGCCTTAATCTCACTGAAAGCTTTATTGGCATATGAATCTGTTGCCAATAAGCAGGTGGACTTTAAAGAAACAGTTGCTTTGCAAACAGTCTGACATTCAAAAATCAACTGATTCTTTATTCCTTGTACAAAACACACAAAATACAATCCAAAAGACAACAGTACATCTCATTTAATAAAACATACTTTGGTTGATGAGGTTCTTAATATAATGTTGAGAGCACATTTTTTTTAGAATAATACTTTTCATCATCCACGCAGCATTAATCTCAAGATTAACTGTGAAATTATCCATGAATTAGACTAAATATACATTTAATAAAAAAATGTGTTCAATTGCTTTGGAGGGGGACTTTACCATTCCCTTGAGCCATAATCCAAGGCAAGGCCAGCGGGAGGAGCTGTTCAGTCTCTTTGAATGATAGGCCTATCAAATGAATCGATCAATCAATCTACAGCGCCATCAACGAGCAGCACCTGTCACCAACAATCTGTGAAAACCCTGGTACAAACCCCTGATGTTCCACCCTCAGACACTTTAAATATATTAAAATGAAGAATCCATTAAAAGATGTACATGCGTAGATCCTTAAAATCATCCCGAGTGGCTCAGCAGCATTTCTGCACTGCACTGCACTCTGTGAACTGGCCGGCAGGGGGCGACTCACGCCCGTTTTGAGAGCTTTAATAATGCACTGCAAAAAAGGTGGTAGGTCTTTCATATATTTTAACATGTAAATCAGTCTGTCGCACTTTGCTTTAGGGTCAGATGTTTAATTCAAACATTAACAACCTGACCCACTTGCTCTGCGCCTCATGCAGTTTCATTTGTGAGTTAGTCTTTAGAGAAAGACATGTCAGTCAGGATCTGCCTCTTTCTGTGAGGAGGCAGAATAAACCACATTTCTCCTTAGATAAGAAAATACTTAGAAATACGCTCCGCACCGAAATCCTCTCACTTTACCGGAAACATTGGATTATTTATCTTGGGAATAATCATTTTAACCCCAGTGGTCAGCGCATTAATAGATGTGGACTTTTCTTGCAGTGTGTGACGTGTGGGGGCCGAGCAGAGGGCTGCTCTGATTTAAGTTGCAGTCATCTGAATGGATGTTATCACTCTCCGAGAGACTGCCGGTGTGAGGACCACGCTGCGCCTGGAAAAGGCGCTTTGGGAACTACAGGAACTTCATTTAACGTGGATTTACGCAGCGGAGACGCATGGCACAGCCCGGCTGGAGCGACAGGATGATTCCTTTACCGACTTTGTTTGACTTTTGAGGGAGAAGGAAGCAGAGAGCGAGGAAGACGGATACTTATGGTTTGGTGTCAGGGTGCCACAGCCGGCCGTGTGTCTCCTCTCCAAACGGTGCGCCCTCCGTGGCCGTACTTTCCTCTGTGGGACTTCCAAGCGGCCGGGACGCGACATGGGTTGCCGAAGCGCGCTGGGATGCTGCCTGCTCGCGGCGCTGTCCTGCTGCCTCCTCCCCGGCTGCGGAGGTAACATAACGGTGGCGGTGATGCTCCCGGACAACCACCACAAGTACCCGTGGGCTCTACCGCGCGTCTTCCCGGCCATCCTCATGGCGCACGAGGACCTGCACGTAAAACACGGGCTGCTGCTCGACCGTCACATCAACATCCTCAACTACAGCACCGAGGACCCGGCCGTAGGATCGTGCGCCGAAAGCCGGGCGCAGGTGGTGGCCGTGGACGCCAAGCTTTACATCCGCCCGGACGCCTTCTTCGGACCCGGGTGCGTGTACCCGCTTGCCTCCGTGGGGCGTTTTGCGTCCCACTGGAAACTCCCGCTGATCACCGCCGGAGGACCCGCGTACGGCTTCGACAAGCGCGAAGAATACCGGACCATCGTGCGCAGCGGGCCGTCCACCACCAAGCTGGGGGACTTCGCCAACGTCCTGCACACGCACTTCAACTGGACGTCCCGGGCCGTGGTGATCTTCCACGACCTGCGCCACGACGACCGGCCGCACTACTTTCTGTCAGAGGGGATCTATCTGAACCTCAAGGAGGACATGAACATCACGGTGGAGGCCCAGCCGTATGACGACTACAAGTACTACAAGGATCTTATTACTTTCATGAAGGAGCGAGGGAGAAGTAAGTTCATGCTGATGGGAAAAGTGTGATTAAAAGTTTGAAGTCTTGGGAATTGGCACATGAAACACTCCACAAATGCGCACATTCAGGCCTCCGGTGTCCAAACAGAAACACAACCAGACCACATCACCTCCAAAAACAACTTTTAGCGTTTTTAGTGATGAAAATGTAAAAAAAACAAAAACTGTTGTACTTTGTCTTTGAAGTGAGGGACATTATCTCGAAATAGAGCAGATCAGCAGCTGGCCAATATAAAGATAATGTCAGTGGATGGAGGAGGAAATTCCCTCTGACTGGATGATCTGCATGGGAAACAGTTGAGTAAGATTATCTCGCCAGTAGCCTGCAGGCAGGTTTATATCATTTCTTTGAAGAAAAAGATCTTGAATGTCCTCAGGACACACACACACACGCATGTCTGTTTAATTTGGAGCATTGATTTGAGGTATTTTACAAAATTCTGCAATGGGAGATTCCGCTTTTATGTAATGAGGTCACAGTGAAGCTTTCTCCCAGCAGATACAGACAGAGGTGGACTGGAATAGGTGTAAGGGAAAGCCTGTTTATTCCGGAGTTATTACAGAGGAATGTTTAGGCTGTGGGCAGTCTGCTGCTGCTGGTTTATTGCCTGCAGAGGACCACCACCTGCGTTTTTGAAATAGAGAGAGAGAAAGAGAGAGACAGAGGTTAAGATCAAATGCCCTCTCAGCCCCAAACATGCCTTGTATGCGCGGTTCTCTTCATGCATTACTGCTGCTGCTGTTCATTCACCTGCAGTGACAATCCCAGAAGGAGTTGGGTCAGTGCAAACTCATGCTGTGAACTTTATTCAGATCCACCCAAGTTTAATTTTTAAACGTTAGTGGAGATGCCAGCGTTTCCTAAGTTACCAAACAGGCCAGGCTGGGTTTTGGGGAAATGTGAGTTAAATGAGAACAGAATATTTCTTTTTGATGGAAGCCATAACAACATGGAGTCTTGGGTCTGAATATTTCATTCAGTGGAAGCAGCATCATATAGCTTCCATGAATAGCTGGAACAAGATAATACAGAATATATAGATGCTGTCAGTGGTGTGGAATAAGAATTCCCAGCCTTAAGGAGGGAAACAAATTTATTTTGAAATTTTTTATCAAATTGCCAAACAGTCATTTGCTTTTTAAATGAAAATAACAGCTGTTTTTTTTTTTTTTTTGATAAAGCGTAAATCACACAGCAGAATGGCTGTTAAATCACTCGTCACTGTTCTCGCCCTAAGTTTAATTAACTGGAAACATTGTGAGGCTGACTTAATGATTACTGCTGTTGTGAAAAGTTAATTGTGTGACTGAGAGTCTGGACTGTGGCACGTGCATGAGTGCAGCTGCACTTTTTTGAGGAGAGATCAACTAAGAATACTGAAGCGGATGAAGTGCATCTTTTGTAAAAGCTGCAGAAGCATGAAGCGTGCAAAATGACACATTCCTGTGCCCTCTTTCTAATGGTACTCAATGGCTTATATTAATGTTAAATAATTCAGTAATTCATTTACCAATGCTTTATTGTAGGAACAACTTTTGGGTTTCCAGGTTGTGAGAAAACCCATTGACTCATCCTTTTTATTTGGTAATATTGCAGTTTTCCCATGTCTATGTGTTAAAGGTCCAGTAAGCAACAT